TTAAACTCAAACGTGCAATTTGGTTTCTTGGATCGTATGGAGCCCTCAAGCATCGTTTCGTTCTCATTTTAGGGTGTTACAATGCGCATAAGGAAAGCGCGTCAAAGCGTAAAAAAATGTTTTGTTTGCCCAAAAATATACCTCATCTGATTCGCGTGTCAGCGCATTAACGTTCAAGAGTCAAAACAACCGATTCTCTAATAGCTAGCGCCTTGCCTCAGCTTCTCCCGTGATGCCGACCATAGGTTCTCAGCGTCTATGCGCTCAGAAGCCTGCAACCAGAGAGAAAACCCGATCAAAGTAAACACTAGTCTGTTTGTAACCCAGTTTACGGCGAGTATCTAAGCAAGGTATTTCAGAGCTTTGGAGCGGTTACGAGCCTACGATCTACTGAACTCTCTCAAAGACTACTATCGAGCAATGATTGAAAGCAGAAGCCATGCGGAACAGGAGGCAAGTAGTCCCTCCTGCTGCTACCTTCTCTTCAACTTCGCTAACCGAAAACCCCCTTGCTTAAGCTATTCATTTCAGGAAATCCGGCAATTTTTCCAACGGATGAACGACTCATTCGCACGCTGTTTCAATCCAATTAAAGACAAATACGAGTATCGCTATTGATTTATTGATTGATTATATTTTGACACAATTTTGCTTTGTTCGACCTATTTGTTCTCAGGGTTTTTCGGTATAAGCCAAGTTGTTGTGTGTCGAATCCCGGTTCCTGTGTATATAGATGTAAATTATAAAGAAGTTTTCTCTTTCCTATTTGGTTCTACAAAAGGAAACCTGAAAATCTATGGGGCTTCAGATTTTCCCGGCCGTTTAAAGATAGGATAGTCTCTAGTTAAGTACTGCCGGTCTGCCGCATCACAGGTTCTTTGCTCAGTAGCGGTAGCCGTGCCTGGGATCAGGGCACGCCATCGTTGTGATCATCACAACAGGGGGTCGTATTTGACCTCGAGGGAGGGGGGGGGTCGTAAGCGCGGGGACCTTTCTGAAGTGAGGGTGCAGCGATACCCAGATGTCGTTCAGCTTC